CCTTCCTTCCTTTCTTCGCAGCTTATGGGGGTGGGGGGCAGAGATAAAGAGATCTTCCATCCACTGGCTCATTCCCCAAATGGCCACTAAGGCCAGGCTGGACCGATTCAAAGCCAGGAATTTCTTCTGGGTCTCCCAAATGGGTGCAGGGACCCAAGGACTTTGGCCATCTTTACTACCTTCTCAGGTGCATTAGCAGGGGGCTGGCCAGAAGTGGAGCAGCCAGGACTTGACCTGGTGCTATGCCACATTGCCAGCCCATGGCTGTTCTTTTCAAGGCTCCCGAGGCTTCACCTGCATTCTTGCTGCTCTGTGCCACACATGCTGTATCCAGACAGCATACGCTTGCTTCAGAACTTCGCTTGTCCAGCTGCTTCCTTAGGTCCCCTGGAAGATTAGAGATTACTGAAACAGACATTATGGATTTGCTGGGTCTTTAGCAAAGAGAGGAACATCCTTGATTCCTCCATCACATCACATGCAGGTGAACTGAACTGGATTTTGTGACTGACTCTGAAAATTATGCTCCTAACCCTGGGTCTTAGTTTGTACTGTTCTAAAAAAAACACCATGGAGTGGTTGGCTTAACCAGAAGACCTTTGTTTCTCACAGGTCTCGAGACTGAAGTCTGAGGTCAGGGTGCCAGCGTGGTTCTTGGTGAGGGCCCCCCTCTTGTCTCACAGTCATCTCATTGTCTTCTCACACAGGAAGCAAGTTCTCTCTGGCCTCTTGTGTAAGGGCCATTTCATGGGGGCTCCACCCTCATGACAATTACCCCATTAAGGCCATACTTCCTGATATCATCACCTTGGGGATTAGGATGTGAATAGATGAATTTGGGGGAACGTAGATACTTAGTTCACACCACCCTGGAAGTTTGCTAATTAAAGGTGACTTGGGTTTAAGGCAGATGCTTTGTAGTGAAGTTTAAAAAAATTTCACTGCTGTGAACAATAATCCAAATCAGTAGGCAGAGCCCACCTCATGTGAGGTGATTGCACTTTTTGACTTGGTCACTTCTTGTGTCACTTCTGAACTTTTTACAAGGGTTTAGTACTTTTGATTCAGAGAACTTTATTTTTAGAGTGTTATCTGCAAAGATTCTTCTAGGAACTATTATGATTAATCATCATTAACCTACATGCTTCTATTTTTTTTTAAGATTTATTTATTTATTTGAAAGAGTTATGCAGAGATTGAGAGAGCCCTTCCATCCACTGATTCACTCCCTAATTGGCCACAGCAGCCAGAACTGCGCCAATCCAAAGCCAGGAGCCACGAGCTTCTTCTGCATCTCCCATGCTGGTGCAGGGGCCCAAGGACTTGGGCCATCTTCCACTGCTTTCGCGGGCCATAGCAGAGAGCTGGATTGGAAGTGGAGCAACCAGGACTTGAACCGGTGCCCATGTGGGATGCTGACACTGGAGGAGGTGGCTTTACTCTCTATGCCACAGTGCCCCACCCCCACATGTTGCTTGAGGGTGCAGAGCTTGTAGGTTTTTCCCCCCCTGATGTAAATTCCCCATGATTGTAAAATGGGACCATTCAGAGTGCCTGACATAGAGTGATGAAAAACATGCTCCGCCTTGGTATAAAATCCAGAACTCTTAACAAACTGTGGATCTTCGCAAGATCTTGGCTTCCCTGCTGCTCATCTCTCCCTCCTTTCCACCTCACCCCACCCACACTGACCTCTTGGCAGTTCCTCAACATACCAGTCCCCTTGCCTTAATGTTTGTGCCATTTCTTCGACCTGGGGCACTCCTCCCCGAGGTAAGTACATGGTGATCTCCCTTGCCCCTATCAGGTTTGCTCCCCTTGCACCTCTTCAGAGATGTTTGTCTCTTGCCCAGTTTGACTCCTCATCATAGCACTTAGCCAGATCTATTATTTGCTTGTTTTTGATTGTCTCTTTCTCCACTGGAATGTGAGCTCAAGGAAGGCAGGGCTGTTTGGATCATTGCTGTGTTTCCCCTGGTCTTTCTCAACAGCGCCTGCTGTGTCACAGGTGCTCAGTAAATACTTGTTGAATGAATGAGTGACTGTCTGGATTAATGAATGCGTGCATGCCTGAGTATACAGTGTCTGTATAGCAGCCCAGTTCCAGAGCAGCATCTGAGGTGGAGAAATGCAGCTGGAAAGGAAATTAGATCTTTAATTCCTGTTTTCCTAGATGTGTTATCCTGTCCAGGATCTTAGCCCATAGCAACAACCTGTGTTAAAGTCTTTTTTCTCCTGTTTTCTAGTAACCCAAACTCTTGCATGCCATTAATTCCTCTGACCTAGACAGGAAACTGTCTTCTGTGCCGTTCCGTCCCCACCATCCTGTGCTGTTGGTGCTCTTACTTTCCCAGGAAATGAGGGGATCTGGGAAAGGACAGTGATTGTCCTTTTAACCTTAGGGCTCATGTCCTTCCTTTGGGTGGAAGTAGGTAAAGGAAGGTGGTATAAAGTGGTTGCTCATGTGTTGGTCAAAAGGCTGACCCTACAGAGAAAACTGAAGCCTGTGAATGCTACATTAATTCCCACATTAGATGGATTTCTGTGATTCATCAAGTACCAGATTAATTGGCTTTTTCCAAGGTACTTTAATTATGCCTTTTAATGTTTTTGTCCTCTGTACTTGGAAATATATGCTTTTGTAAGCCTCAGAACGCTTGGTATTTTTTCCATGTACTAACTCCATAATGATCTGCCATGATATTAGTATAGGATTCTTAGCTCTATTCATCACGGCAGGTGCAGCACATTAGCACCAAAAAATTAGACCATAATGCAGCAATGGCTTATTGAAAACAAACATAAATATCTCATAAAAGCTTAGAATTTCCTTAAGACGGTAACATCACTTCTAAAGAGCTTTCATCTGTTTCCCTAGAAAAAAATGATAAAATATTTAAGACATAACATGGCTCTGTATATCATAAACTGTGGTTCTTTATGCTAGGTGGCTTTAAATTTATTTAGGCAGGTACCCTTTTTTATATTCATACCTCACAAATGGAGCCTTTTATCATTTGTAATGTTGTTGTTGCCATTTTAGTAAATGAGATGGTTTATGAGCACTGTTCATCAATGAAACGAATGGCTTTCGTATTATCATTTACATCAGCTGGTTAAGTGATGTAACTGTGATAGTACCTGTTTATATGTGCTCTTCCCCCTCCTTGTCTTGTTTTTCTTTACTCAGCTGATGATTTGCTGTTTATTGAGTAGCCTTGTTTCTTCTCCCTCTCCACTCCCACCCAAGATGGAGGAAAGGAAGTGCTGTCCATGCACCAGATTCTCCTCTACCTCCTGCGGTGCAGCAAGGCCCTGGTGCCCGAAGAGGAGATTGCCAATATGCTTCAGTGGGAGGAACTGGAGTGGCAGAAATATGCAGAAGAGTGCAAAGGCATGATTGTCACCAACCCTGGCACGGTACATTCTGGAGTTTGTACACTCAGATGCTGAATGCTTCATAGAAACAGTAACAGCACGTTCTACACACACACACACACACACACACACACACACATACACACACACATTTTTTTAAAAGATTTATTTATTTATTTGAGAGGCAGAGTTACAGAGAGGGAGTGGCAGAGAGAGAGAGAGAGAGAGAGGTCTTCCATCCACTGGTTCATTCCCTAAATAGCTGCAACAGCTGGCCTGGGCCCATCCAAAGCCAGGAGCCAGGAGCTTCTTGGTTTCCCATGCAGGTGCAGGGGTTCAAGCACTTGGGCCAGCTTCCTGTTTCTCAGGCACATTAACAGTAAGCTGGGTTGGAAATGGAGCATCTGGGACATGAACCAGCTCCCATAAGGGATGGTGGTGCCACAGGTCCCACAGGTGCCACAGGCAGAGACTTAACTTACACAGTGCTGGCCCCCATCCTAAACGCTTTAAGTTCCCCTTGCTTTGTGTCTTTGAGGACTTGGAAGCAAAATTAGTAAAACAAGTATTACAATTTAGACATATTTACCAGTGGATTCATTCTGCCTAGAGTTAGGAACATTTTTAAGGATTTGCATACCTGTTTCAGTTGCCTTCAGAAAGGTTGTAGAATTTTTAGTCTTACTAGGCATATTAGAGAGTACCTATTTCTCCATGCTGTTTATACCAGAGTCAAGAAAAAACAATTTGATAGAAAACAAAATTATGTAGTCCAGATATGTACTTACTTTGGTTTCTAGTATAAACTGATATTTTATTTATTTATTTATTTGAAAGAGTTACATAGAAAAGAGGTAGAGAGAGAGAGAGAGAGAGGGAGGTCCTCCATCTGATGGCTTACTCCCCAATTGACCGTAATGGCTAGAGCTGCGCTGATCCGGAGCCAAGAGTCTCCTCTGGGCCTCCCACACGGGTGCAGGGGCCCAAGGACTGGGGCCATCTTCCACTGCCCTCCCAGGCCATAGCAGAGAGCTGGATCAAAAATGGAGCAGCTGGGTCTTGAACTGGTGCCCACATGGGATGCTGGTGCCTTAGGCCAGGGCGTTAGCCTGCTGGTCAACAGCTCCAGGCCCTAAACTGATACTTTAAATAAATGCTTATTGAACATTCATGTTTTTATTTATTTAAAAAAAGTGATAGGAGGAGAGGCAGAAAGATCTTCCATCTGTTGGTTCACTCCTCAAATGGCCATAATGGCCAGGGCTGGGACAGGCCAAAGTCAGGAACCTGGAACTTCGTCTGGTCTCCCACATGGATGGGAGAGGCATAAGTGCTTGTGCCATTTTCCACTGCTGTCCCAGGTGCATTAACAGGGAGCTGGATTGGAAGTGAAGGAACTGGGACTCTAATTGACATTCTGTTATGGGATGCTGGTGTTGTAGGCAGAGGCTTAATCCACTGTGCCACATGCTTGCCCCTCATGTTTTCTTTTTAATTGCCTATTAATATTATTTGTCTGATTTTCTTGTGTGTACTATTTTTTTAATCAAACCTTTGCCATAATTACAAATGTTTACTATTTTTCTTGTTGACTTCTTAAAAATTTATTTTTAAAAATTAGCTTCTAATGTTAATTTTTGAAACAAAAATATTTTTAACAGAATTAAAAGATAACTACTCATAAAACAGAACATTTTCTTCATATTCTTTTTTTCTCAAAAATATGTTATTTCATAAATTATATTGGCATTTTATATATTGGCATCTTATCAGAGTAGAATTCTGCAAAAACAGGGTAATTAATTTAAACAAAGCTGTTGTTTTTTAAGAAGTTGCCAACTGCTTAATAGCCTTGAATCATAAAACACAAACTCTGGATCAACTTTTTGTCACATGACAGTAACATCTGCACAGATAAAATGTTGCCATTTGCAAATAAAACATTCCAGTTAATCCTGATTATTTTAAATAAATCCAGAAGGTGAAATGTTTTAATAAAAATGTTTAAACATAAAACTAGTTTAAAAACTAGAAATATACAAATTTTAGTGTAATTGAAAAATTATGCAATTTTACTGTAATTTTTAACATGACTTTAAAAGAAGTCTATGAGGAGTAACACTATGAGGGTAAGACTAAATTTTATCTTTCCTCTATAAACAGTTGCATATTTAGAGCTGGGTGAGAAGACGGGGTGATGGTGGTAGACATGTTGTTGTTCTTGCTTGTTCCTTTGGAAGGGTCTCAGGTTCTACACTGGATACTTTGGGAGCATGTTCTCTCTTGGCTTCCTTCCATGGCATAAACATTCTTGAAATTCTAGAATCAGATAGAGTTTTCAACAAAAACCAAGGATGCTCCGACCTATCCCTTCTCATGTGCTCCAGGCAAAGGGCCCAAGAAACTGCAGTTTGAAAAAAATCCACAAGTGCTTCTGATCCTCGCATTGCTTTTTTATTGCCTTTGGTGTAGTTGTCATTCCCCTCTCACCATGATCTTTCCCGCAGGGACCGCTTTGTAAGGCATGTGCTAATGAAGTTTCTGTGTTATAAAAGATATTTGCCCAGGTGAAAACCCAAAGCATAAACATACGAAAGGAGTCTGTGGTGAGTGCAGGGGACCAGTCAGTTAAGTCTAGCATTTTAGGAGAGATCACTGGGCCAGGCCTCCCAGAGATGCTTTGTATACACTCTGAGCTTGCAGAGTAGACGATGTGTAAAATTTAGTGGTGTGGTTAAGTGTATATCCTTGAGAAGCTGTAAGGTCAGTTTTGAAGATAGTGGTGGAGCCAGATTAGTCAGGAGGAAAGGTTTATAGTGAGAAACAGATTAGGGAAGGTGAACTTGGGTGTTAGGAACGTATTGAAGTTAATTCTGTTTTAGTATTTATCCAAAGGTATATTTAAAGAAGGGAGAAGTTCTAAAAATTCATGAAAACATCCTTTCCTTACATCCTTTTGAGAAGTGTACAAGTTACTCGTCAGGGAAGGTAGACACAATATTACATTTCATTCTCTGTTTTGAAAGATTGTCCAACTTGCTTTGAAAGATTGTCTAACAGCAGGAATATTGGGAAATTTATTAAATCTTTCAAGCCATTATGGTCACATTAAATACTTTATTGCTGCACAACTTACAAATTAATCTTCATCCCTAAGCACTTTGTCATGGAATGCTTTGGTCATTAGTGAGAATGTTTTTTATTCTTACACAAAGATGGTATGATAGATGTTGTAGGGTCTGGTCAGAGTCTGGAACTTACTTCATTCCCTGCCTCACTCATAAATTCAGAGATAATGGAGACATTTCAGATCACTGTTTCTTCTATCAATACCACAGTATAGTGCTTAAAAATCACAGAAGCATGAAGAATACAGCAGCATTCTTTGATGACACAATTCTCTTTTAAAAAAGTGTGTCCTAGGAGTGGGTAGTGTAGTGGTTAAGTTGGAAAACCTGCATCCCATATTGAAGGCCATGGGAGCGATTCCCAGCTCTGCTTCCAATCCTCACTTCCTAATAATGTGCACCCTTGCAGGAAGCAGGCGATGACTCAGAGTATGTGGGTCTTTGCCACCCATGTGGAAGACCCAGATTGATTTCCCAGCTCCTGATCCAGCCCTGGCTGTTGTGGGCATTTGGAGAGTGAATCAGCAGATGAAAGATCTCTGTCTCTCTGCCTTTCAAATAAACTTTTGAAAAGTAGAATGTTTTTAATGTATCCTGTTACTTTTAGGTACAAACTACGAACAAAAACAATTCTTAGACCTAAACCATATGTTGCTACTATTTATTGATAGGCATTTAAGTAATTTTATTTTAGGTTACCTGTGAACAAAATCTTCTCTAGTTATTATTTTTGGGAACAGAGGTCAACTTTTCAAGATGCTAATGAAATTTTGAGTATTAAATGACATTTAAATATTCTTTTAGAGCTTAAAGATTTTCTTTCTTTATTTGAGAGGTAGAGTTACATACAGACAGAAGGAGAGACAGAAAGGTCTTTTTTTTTTTTTTTAAAGATATATTTATTTATTTGAAAGAGTTACAAAGAGGAGAGGCAGAGAGAGACAGAGAGATCTTCCATCTGCTGGTTCACTCCCTAATTGGCCACAGGGGCTGGAGCTGTGCCAATCCGAAGCCAAGGAGCCAGGAGCTTCTTCCGGGTCTCCCACATGGGTGCAGGGGCCCAAGGACTTGGGCCATCTTCTACTGTTTTCCCAGGCCATAGCAGAGGGCTGGATCGGAAGTGGAGCAGCTGGGTCTCAAACCAGCACCTCTATGGGATGCTGGTACTGCAGGAAGTAGCTTTACCCGCTACACCACAGCACTGGCCCAAGAAAGATCTTCTATCCATTGGTTCGCTTCCCAAATGGCTGCAATGGCCAGAGCTGGGCTGATCTGGAGCCAGGAGCCAGGAGCTTCTTCTGGGTCTCCCACAAGGATGCAGGGGCCCAAGGACTTGGGCCATCTTTTACTGCTTTCCCAGGCCATAGCTGAGAGCTGGATTGGAAGAGCAGCAGCTGGGAAATGAACTGATGTTGACGCTTCAGGTGGAGGCTTAGCCTACTACACCACAGCACTGCCCCAAGTTTGGGTTTTTAAACTAATGTGAATGGATTTACACAAATCTTTCCTCTGTTAGCTGCTTTTATTTGTCAGATGACTGATTGAGGCCGTGGTTGTAGATCTGTCTGGTGACCACTTTATCTCAGTTGTTGAAGGCTTTTTCTAGTTTTTGCATTGAAACCACTCTGTCCTGGACAACACAGGCCTCCAGCTAGACTTTAGTTGTTGGGTGATGTTGTGGGACAGAATGAAACCTACTGGCCTCTATGTGAATCAGTCTGTAGCTGTAGCTTCTTAAGCAGCTGAGCCTAGGACCCTCAATGTACTTATAAGAATTAAGTGTAATTAAGGACTGCCCAGAGAGTTGGTTACAAGCAAGAAAGCTTCTAAAACATATTTGCCATGATTTTACTATCTTCTCACCATTTTAAGCTTTTAGGATGAACAACATACCACAAATACTTCAGAAAAGAACCAACACTTTATTTTTTCCTTTATTAGACATGAAGCAAAAAACAAAAAAGAATATGAGGCTTTCTGTTAAAATACTAAAGTGTCCTATGTGGACGTAAGAGAATCTTAACTACATGGCTTTTGTACTGCCATACCTTCTAATTTAAAGTTGTAGAATTAAAGGAATACACACAAGGTACACTGAAACCAATGGGAAAATTTTTCCTGATAGAGGCATCTGTCTGTGCATCCTAAGTAGAAGTAAGCCATCAGTTGACATGTAGAATTAAAGTAGAGTAAGGTCGCACATCTCTTTCCTGGGATGTGGAATTTTCCTCTGTGTCTTTGGAGAGGTTAAGGGAAACTTACATCTGACTAGGTGTCCTTTTAAAAGTTTAATTTTAAAAGGTTTCTATGTGGATTGCAAAAAAGGACAAAGTCATTGTTCGTTATGCCAAATGGCATAGACTCATGTACAGCGATGACATTAGAGTTTTAATATAGTATAGCCGCCATGATTAAAGGATTTTAAATGACATTTTCCCTTTGGGGACAAGGCTTTCCTAGAAGTAAACCCTATTAATTTCTTCTCTACTTAGGTTAAAGTCAATATTCAAGATACTTATGGGAATAAATGGTTTTGATTTTTCTCTCTAGAAACCAAGTTCTGTCCGCATCGATCAACTGGATCGTGAGCAGTTCAACCCTGATGTGATTACTTTTCCGATTATCGTCCACTTTGGGATACGCCCTGCACAGTTGAGTTATGCAGGAGACCCACAGTAAGATATTTCTCAGTGTTTGTCTTAGCCAATTTCACCTTCTACTAACAGTTGAATTAACACCCTTTGGTGGACATTTTCCTTTTTAAAATTTAAGACCTGAAATGAGCCATGTATCCAAATTCAGATTACCAAGTCAAACATGTTTTGGTCGCTCTGCACAATGATTTTACCTACATATTTGCCAGAAGTTACTATTCAGTAGATTATTCTTGGCACCATTGGTCAGCACGTGTCCTGAATGTTTTTAAACTTTAAGGAACTCCTTGTCACTATAATAATTATTATTGTTATTTTTATTTTTCCAGTGCCCTCTAGAGGAAAGTAGCATCATATTGGTTCCTAGCACTGCTGAATTTATGCAGAGTTTTATTTTTAGGGGCATTTGAGAAAGAGCTCAAGATCCCATGTAGAGTCAAGGGTCGTATTGGACATAGGAGCCATGACTTCTGATTCTTAGAATTGATGTCACATGCCACATTTTTTTTTTCCAGGTAGAATGATAGTGTTTTTCTGGGGTAAAATGAGGACATGTGGGAATGGAGATAGTACCATTATATTCAGGAGTGTTTGGATTTTTCTACCTTGTTAAACAAAGAGTTTCTTAATTTTTTTAAAAAAGAAGGATTCATAATGGGAGAAAAGGGATTGGGAGATTTTCAGTTCATAAATACAGTTCTGGCTGACATATACTAGAAGAGGCTAAAGGGTTTTGTTCTTTTTTTTCCCCCTTTGGATAAAAGTATGAAGCAGTGAACCAGGCACTGTGTAAGTACTTCTTTCTTTCCTCCATTCTCTAAAAAAATGTTATCAAAACAGGAGACATCCAGTTAAGACCAAGAAAGGAGCAGTTTCATTAGAACAGCAATTCTTGTGAGAGTCCCTTCTTAATGAGAAAAATGTTAGTAGAATGGGATCAGGCTCTCTTCACCTCTCAGACGGCAGGGCTGAGGTAAAGGACTGCCTGTTTTCTTCTTCCAGGACACTTTTTTGTTTGTTGTTTGTTACAGTAAATACAGATTGGTGAATACCATTTGACTTTTCCCCTCTTCAGTGGAGAAATGGAAGCTTCTTGACCCTTCTTGGCACAAGAAGGGTTTTCTATTATGCTCTACGCCCAGCAATATTCCAATTAAAGAAGGGGCTTTTTTTCCAACTAAGGGAATACTTTATATCTAAATAAAATCTGTCACTTTGAAAGAAGTAGCAGTGAGAGAAGGGACATTTTTCCTTTGATTAGAATAAGTTTGTGTATGTTTTCTTTGGGATTCTTTCTGGAGATTCATCAATAGAGTCACATCTCAAGTTTAACCAAAATAAGCAACAATGAATGTAATCACCAGGTTCGTGATGCCTCTTGGCTGTCCTGACTCTCAACACCAAAATTATATCTTTCCTTAGAAAGGTTTGCTGCCTCTAAGGATATTCAAAAGAATGTGATCTATGGTCAAGCAAGCCTAATAAAATAGCTGGCTTCACTGCACTTTAGATTTGCCTTCTCTTTACCTGAGGTGTCTGCTTGTCTGTCTTCTCCCATAGATACCAGAAACTGTGGAAGAGCTATGTGAAACTTCGCCACCTCCTCGCAAATAGTCCCAAAGTCAAACAAACTGACAAACAGAAGCTGGCACAGAGGGAGGTTGGTACTGGGCCTTGTTCCTTGGTGGTTAGTGGTCAGGTTCATTTCTATATTGTTGCATTGCATTCTACTTCTAAAGTAAGATGAAAAAACACTTTTTGTTTGTTTAAAGATTTACTTATTTATTTGAAAGTCACAGAGAGAGGGAGATAAAGCGAGAAAGAGGGAGATACAGGGAGAAAGAGGTCTTCTATCTGCTGGTTCACTCCTCAAGTGGCTGCAATGGCTAGGGCTGAGCTAGGCTGAGGAGCTTCATCTGGGTCTCCTACATGGGTGGCAGGGGCTTGAGCACCATATTCCGCTGCTTTTTCCATGCCATTAGCAGGGTGCTGGATCAGAATTGGTAAATGAACTGACAATCATATGGGATGTTGGCATCGTAAGGACAGTTTTACCTGCTTGTAGCATAATGCTGGCCCCAGAAAAACACTTCTTAAAAAAATCATACTTCGTATGGGGGGGGAAGCCATTGTAACCCATGAGTCGTACTTTGGAAATTTATATTCATTAAATAAAAGATAAAAAAAAAAAAAATCATACTTCACTCCCTTTCCCTTATTAATATACTGATTTTTAAAATTTTTAAATTTTTTTATGTTTTTATTTTAATTTTAAGAGTGAATGGATTCATTATCAACTTAGATTTGAGTGAAGTTGCACCTGTGGTAATATAAGGGCAAGGCTTTGAAGATGGGAAGGGTATTTAAACTGCAGCTTTGTCACTAACTGTGACTTGAGCCAGTCAGCCTCCTTACATAGGAGAGAACTAACGTTGCAAGACTAATTGAGCTGCTCCTCTGTTGATGTACACAAGACAGAAGTGGCTGTATGGACATCTGCCATACTCCACTTGGCGTCACTCCGGTGGTGTTTGCCTGTAGGAGGCACTCATCAATGGTTAAGTGAAGGTGGAGATGGTGGTGGTTCCTGTTGTTATTGTGAATTCCTGTGAGATTGTTAAAAATTGCAAAGACACGTATGTATGATTTTTTAAATAATTATTTGAAGGAGAGTGAAAGGGAATGGTTAATTTGTTGATTCTGTCTCACAAGTGAAATTTTAGATTTTCTTTTTCAGTAAGATGTGCCCTTATAGCAAGGATTTTTGTAAGGGTTTGCAAATCAGAAGGCAGCATTTTGAATTATGGATTGCAGGTTAATTGTCTTAGTTGTAAATGGTAACATGAGGCTTGATAAAAATACGATTTTTACATGCTGATTTTAAATCCCAAACACCACATTTCATTTCTCTTAGCAGCGAAAGGACATGCCAGAATGTTTGAACATGCCAGAATGGTAGATTTGATTTAGTTTTTTTTTTTCATATTTAGTTAACAGGAAATTCTGCCTTACACCCAAGGCTATGCACATCCAGGCCTTCATTTCAAGTAAAATATTATAATTTTGCATGAAGAGCTTTGAGTACCAAAATATAATGGTGATATTGGATGAATCCAACTTTTAAATCTGCTGCTGGATGTTGGGCTTAATATTGTTTTGCAACTGACATGTTACTCATCATAATGAGTTCTCTTCTAGGAAGCACTCCAGAAAATACGCCAGAAGAATACAATGAGGCGAGAAGTAACAGTGGAGCTCAGTAGCCAAGGATTCTGGAAAACTGGCATCCGTTCTGATGTCTGTCAGGTGATGACACTTCTGAACTCAGTTACGCCCATGTATCTCATCTTCCAAAAGGCATCTGGCACTGAGATCTTCCTAATTGAGAAGTTCCTGTGGAACTCGCTACCTTGAAACTAAATGGATCACCAGCCATAAATTGTTTTCTGTCATTTGAGTTTTGTTTTTGTTACTTGGTTGTGTGTGTGTGTGTGTGTGTGTGTGTAAGGGGAGCAGCTTACTTGGTAATTAAATTCTCTGCATTGTGGGTGAAGACAAGTCTGTCCCCCAGATGTGCCTGCCTGTGTGCAGCATCGGGATAGGTGCTCCAATCAGAGAGAGAATGCAGCAGCCACACAGATAGGATGGTGTGTACGAGGATGTACTGAGGATGATGTGTACGAACTTTCCAGGGCGATGAGTCCGATTCATATTGCAGAGAACTGAAGGAGTTAATGAACAGAATCAGTGTTCATTGCGTATTTGAGCCAAATGACATTGTTTTTTCCTTGGGTTTACTCAGTAGAGAAACATTTCAGCTTCATATCACTGACTCGTTGATAAGCATTTTTGTTTTTCTTTTGGATGGAATTTATACCAGATTAGAATATCCCCCCAGAAGAGTATATTCTTTGCTTCCCAGTTGGTTCTTTTGTCATCAGTGAAATTGGTTGCACTACATGGGAATTAGCAATCATGAAATGAGGACACAGGCTGGGACAGGTAATGCAGTTGGCTATTGGCTGTAGTCAACTTTTTGGAAGAATATTTCCAGGCTTCCAGTGACCTGTTCTTATGGATAGCATGTGTTGTAATAAGTCTGGTAACTTCTCTCTGTTCATGTCATCAGAATGATTTTTAAAAAAGTCAAAGTTGATACTTATTGTATTGAACGGTGGAATTTAATCCTGTAAGTGAAACGATTGCCATACAATTCATTTCCAAAGTGATATGCAGAGCTAACAGTTTCCACATTAAAATGAATGGCTGTGGATGCAGTACCGCTAAGTAGTTTGAGAATAATCTACAGAGATGGCCAGCTGCATCCACCAAGTCCTCAGTTACTTGGGCAGTTGTCTGATGTGAGCTGTGGGTACTTTTCCTCATGGCTATCTGAAGCCATGTTGCGTAGTTTTCCTGGTTGCTAGTGTTTCTACAAAACCAACATCGTGTCGAAGAACAATGAGCAGAGTGCTAGACAGTCTGCTCAAAATCTGGTATCTTAGCGATGAGACAGGATTGATGGTTTCAGAGGTCACAAAATTGTGGAGCTTTAAGAACTGAAAGGGACCTCAGAGATTTGTAGTTTGATGGTTTTAAAACTCATGTTTTTGCTTAACTGTAAGAAACAAAACCTCATGGAGCCCTAATTTATAAAAGCTAAAGAGTAACTGTCTGATTGATGGGTGATAGGTGTGTAGAGCATATTCTGCTTTCTTTGATTTCTCTTCCATCTTACGTAGCAGTGCCTAAGGCAGTTGTTCCATTGAACACGTTTGTTGTTTTTTTTTTTTTCCCCAAACATTGAGCACTTTTTCCTGGCTTTCTTTTGGTAAAACGAATAGAGGCGCTAAATGATCTCTTCCAGTACAGTTTTGTGTGTTGCAACCCTTTCAGTCTGTGGCTCCTGAGCTGGATTAGAGGCAGCTGGAAGACTAAGTTATCTGTCTCTCTCTCTGTTGTGTTCTGCATTCTGTTTGGAGGGTGATCAGCAAAACAGCTTAGTCCCCTTGACTGACTGGTGAGGGCGAATGGGTCCTGATGAAGCCCCTGCAAAGGTGGATGCTGCTCCCTCTGCGAAGCTCTCGCTCTTCCGGGGAGAGCTGCCGTCTGTTTAGGGGCCGTGCTGCCCTTCTCCGGCCCACTTGCTGCAGGTCTTTTGAAGATTTCAGTAGAATCACCCTCACATGTAATTGACTTGATAAAGAATGTAAATTGCTGCCTTGAGTTCATATACTGAATACCGAAGGAATTGCTTTATGGTTTGGCAAAAAAGCGCGTTGACAGAAGTGGAAGAAAAGACGTCTGAGCACGCTGGCAGTGAAGCTGCGGGGGCAGACGATTCAAAACATAGACCTGTGTTTTGGTGACCAAAATCAAATCATTGCCAAGCATTCTGTGGCTGACAACTTGAAGTGAACAGATGAAGGATCTGTTCACTTTGATATATTCTATTATTTTATCATCACTGGATATTCTTGGCATTGTGAAAGTAAATTATTAAGTACACTGAACTTAAAGCATTGACATATAGAATGCAACCTTTATTGGAGCAATTTAGCTCAAGTTTTATTTTTAAAATTTTTACTTATTTTTCATTTTATTTGAAAGGGAGAGTGAGAGATCTTCCTTCCACTGGTTCAGTTCCCAAATGCCCTTGACAGCCAGGGTTGGGCCAAACCAAAGCCAGGAACCTGGAGCTCTGTCTGTTTCTCCAATATGGGTGGCAGGGACCCATGTACTTGATCCATCATCTGCTGCCTCCCAGGGTGCATATTATCAGGAGGCTGAATTGGAAGCAGAGGAGCTGGGACTCAAAGCAGGCACTCCAATATGCAATGCAGGTATCCAAGCAGCATCTTAACCACTATGTCAAAGGCTAATCTCAGTTAAAATTTTAAATTCAGAAACCTAAAGTAAGGTAAAATGATATAGGAGAATAACAAGGGTAAATTAATGTTACTGACTTTCTACTCAAAATGAATATTTTTACAATGAAAATTTTGATTATATTTATAGTCTTCCCTGTTCTAGATTTTTTTTTATTTTTATTTATTTATTTATTTTTGACAGGCAGAGTGGACAGTGAAAGAGAGAGAGAAAGAGAGAAAGGTCTTCCTTTTGCTGTTGGTTCATCCTCCAATGGCTGCCGCGGCTGGCGTGCTGCGGCCGGCGCACCGCACTGATCCAATGGCAGGAGTCAGGTACTTATCCTGGTCTCCCATGGGGTGCAGGGCCCAAGCACTTGGGCCATCCTCCACTGCACTCCCTGGACACAGCAGAGAGCTGGCCTGGAAGAGGGGCAACCGGGACAGAATCCGGCGCCCCGACCGGGACTAGAACCTGGTGTGCCAGCGCCGCAAGGCGGAGGATTAGCCTAGTGAGCCGTGGCGCTGGCCTAGATTTTTTTTAAAGATTTATTTATTTGGGGGCCAGTGCTGTACCATAGTGCATAAAAGCTGCTGCCTGCATTGTTGGCATCCCATATAGTTGCCAGTTTGAGTCCTGGCTGCTCTGCTTCCGATCCAGCTCTCTGCTATGGCCTGGGAAAGCAGTAGAAGATGGCTCAGGTGCTTGGGTCCCTGTGCCCATGTGGGAGACCTGGAAGAAGCTCCTGGCTCCTGGCTTCAGATCTGCACAGCTCTGACCATGGCGGCCAATTGGGGAATGAACCAGGGGATGGAAGACCTCTCTCTTTCTCTGCCTCTCCTTCTCTGTGTAACTCTGACTTTCAAATAAATAAATAAATTTTAAAAAAGATTTATTTATTTGAAAGAATTATGGGGGTGGGGGAGGGAGAGCGAGTGAGCACGCTTCCATCTGCTGGTTTATTCCCCAAATTGTTACAATGGCCAGGGCTGGGCCAGGATGAATACAGTTGCCAGGAGCTTCATCCTTGCTTCCCATGTGGGTGCAGGGTCCCAGGCGCTTGGACCGTCTTCTGCTGATTTCTCTGCTGCGTTAGTAGGGACTGGATTGGAAGTTTAGCAGCCGGGACTCGAGTTGGTATCCTTATGAGAACCTGCACTGCAGCTTAACCTGCTGTACAACACCAGCCCTTCCAGATAGTTTTAAGGTGGTAATTCATTTTAAGAGTGCAGGAGTAAGTAAACAACATGATCATACAAGCCCTGGGCTCTACAGTGAAACCAGTTAAATCCTTTATTCCATTGGTACAGATGGAGAGATCTTCTACCCACTAGTTTACTCCCAAATGCCCACAATGGCCAGGGCTAAGCTGAAGCCAGGAGCCAGGGGCTCCATCTGGTTTTGCCATGTAATAGGAACCCAAGTACTTGGGTTATTATCTGCTGTCTGCCACATGCATTGGCAGGAAGCTGAATTAGAAGTGGGGGAGCTGGGATTCGAACTGACATTCTGAAATAGGATGTGGGCATCCCAAGCAGTGGCTTAACTCACTGCTTCCTAGCACCCTTATTGGAATCTTTATGTGGTGTTTTATTTGTGTGATATAAAGGTCCTGAACAGTTGTCCTTAAATTACAGAGGTTAGTCAAATGTTTTGCTTGAATTTTTTTAATCTTAAAATTCCTTGGGTAAACAGTAGGGGGCAACAAAGGCGTTCTCTCCAGATGAAATTTTCTAGCAAGTAGTATTAATTACTAAACCTGTATGAAGCTGGCCGGCGCCGCGGCTCACTAGGCTAATCCTCCGCCTTGCGGCGCTGGCACACCGGGTTCTAATCCCGGTCGGGGCGCCGGATTCTGTCCCGGTTGCCCCTCTTCCAGGCCAGCTCTCTGCTGTGTCCAGGGAGTGCAGTGGAGGATGGCCCAAGTGCTTGGGGCCTGTACCCCATGGGAGACCAGGATAAGTACCTGGCTCCTGCCATTGGGATCAGTGCGGGGGGGGCCGGCCGGCAGCACGGCCGGCCCGTGGGGGCCCATTGGGGGGGGGAACCCAACGAAGGACCCTTTCTTCTCTCCTCTCACCTGGCCCACTCTTGCCCTGTCAAAAAATTAAATTAAATTAAATAAAAATAAAATAAATAAAACCCTTCTATGAATTATGTTGTAGAGGGCTGGTTTTCCAGGTCTCATTTTTCTAAGAAATCAGGGAAGTCTTTTAACTTTCTTTGTGAATATAGTCCTCTTCTATGCCAGTGGCTGCCTACCATGTTAACAGTCATCCATGTTCACTTTTTTTATTGTTTACTTAAGCCTTATTTGGCCCTCGTTATTCTTGCCATAAAGATTTTAATAATAATATTGAATATAGTTTGTGGCTTTTTTTTTTTTTTTTGACAGGCAGAGTTAGACAGTGAGAGAGAGAGACAGAGAGAAAGATCTTCCTTCCGTTGGTTAACCCCCCAAATGGCTGCTACGGCCAGCGTGCTGTGGCCGGTGCGCTGCGCCGATCTGAAGCCAGGAGCCAGGTGATTCTCCTGGTCTCCCATGCAGGTGCAGGGCCCAAGGACTTGGGCCATCCTCCACTGCACTCCCTGGCCACAACAGAGAGTTGGCCTGGAAGAGAGGCAACCGGGACAGAATCCGGCGCCCCGACCGGGACTAGAACCTGGTGTGCTGGCGCCGCAGGCGGAGGATTAGCCTATTGAGTTGCAGTGCCGGCCTAGAACATTTCAAAATAAATGCATTTAGAATTTTTGGTAATGAATAGAATTTGAGAAAAATTTAATGATATGAAACACTGAATAATGCTGAAGCCTATGAACAGATAGGCTTATACTCAGTTTACCCAGTTTTTGCTTTTTTAAATATTTATTTGTTTATTTGAAAGGCAGAGTTACAGAGAGGTCTTCTGTCTGTTGGTTCACTCCCCCAATAGCCACAACAGCTGTAGCTGGACCAGTCTGAAGCCAGGAGCCAGGAGCTTCTTCTGGTCTCCCACATGGGTGCAGTAGCCCAACGACTTGGGCCATCTTCTGCTGCTTTCCCAGGCCATAGCAGAGAGCTGGATTGGAACTGGGCAGACAGGACTTGAACCAGTGCTGATAGGGGATGTCAGCACTGCAGATGGCGGCTTTACCCACTATACTACAATGCCAGCCCCTTATACTCAGTTTTACCAGAAAAAAAGGCTAAGTGCTTCTGTAAAATCCTTGTTTTTTTTTTTCTCTCTCGTTGGTGGCTGATTGATATAGAATCTATTGTTTATTAGTAGTAATTGCTCGTAAGTTGCTGGTAAAGTATTTCCATGTGCGCTTTACGTCCACCTGGAATTTCCTGTCGGAGTGTTGGTTTGAGTTTGAAGTGTAATAGGCCCAGGCTTCTCTAGTGCAGTTAGACTGTCCTTTTGTGCTCGCCAGGGAATTAGGTTGTGCAGCACCTGCTCCACTTAGGGGCACATTTGTAGTGAATATAGGACGTTGGTTTGGGGGTTCTTCCCATTCTCAGGACTGTCAAAAGCTCTGCCACTTCATTTCTTTCCTCAACACAGATGCTGAGACCACATGGCCCTTTGTCCCCATTATGATTCATGGGGATTTCTTGTCATGGAGCTTTCATGTAGATACTGTTTATAGGTCTTTGGTTTTGCACCACTTTTGTGGGAGAATTGGAGGAGATTTAAAAACTGTACATTGCCATTCTCTCTCTTTTTTTAAATGAAGGTAGTTGCCAGGCATGAATTAGGGGGCAAAATAAAGATGCTCAGTGAATACTGTCTTACGGAGTCTCATTTGGAAAGAGAAACTGGCTCTGTCTGGAGCAAATTTAGAAGTAGCAAAGTGATTCAGCCAATTGACACCAGAAAAAGATTAAAGAAAATAAAGTTTGAGTTAGCAAAGAGAAGATGTTGGGATCATGCCTTGAAACGTATTTTGTTTGTTTCCAGGGATACAGCTAGGGTCAAAGGGGTAAGCTTCCAAGGAGGCAGATTTGGGCTTTAAGTTTATAGTAATTTTCTGATAACCAGCAGCTCCTAAAGGATGGTGTTTCTCTTCATAGGTAATGATTCTGACAGGAGGTATCAAAAATGAGCAGTTCTCAAGGTTGTGAGTTCAGCCTTGAGAAAGGGAGCTGCCCGCATGGTCCTCATGGCCCATCCGCCTTGGGCTGCTCACATCAAACCCATGCAAATTAAATGGCTGGAAAATGACACTCCATTTTGGTTATGTGCTTTGTTTCCATTTTGTTGTTTCAAAATACAGCACTTACAAAAACAAAGTAGACAAAGTGCCAATAATCCAAATCATAATGTTATATCTTTGGAGTGCCCTTGATGGCAAAACAGTGTCTTCATTTTTTTCATCTTCCACAAGTATTGTAAGGCCATGCACATGGAGGTGCTCGATGTCTATTGAATTGAACTGGAAGAAAGACTTTCTTGATTAAATATCCTGTTTGGTAGAACTAATCTTTCTTTGTAAGTTGATATTACAGGAAACTGGTTTCTGTACTTTCAAGCAAATCCATTTTCATGTATTTTTAAACAATGCCAGCTTAAAATACTTTGAAGACTGAAATGATATAAAGCACAATGCCAATCATTCGGTGGGCTGTGCCCATCCTCCAGGTTCTAATGAATAAGAATGAATCCTTCATTCTCCTGAATTCTAGGGAAACATTATTTTTCAAAAAGGAGAAAAGGTATGCTTCCCATGAAATCATCTCCCAAAAAGGAATGTATAGCCAAATGAAAAGTGATTGAAGCAAAAATATAAGTTCCATGTCCTCAGGTGCCTTGACTGCATTGGTGGTTTTATAAAAGTTGTCTTCAGAATGTTAGTTCAGTAAATGTGAAACCCAGCATGGCTTTGGGAGATTGTCTGATTGAGAAGTTGTTACCCTAAGCATAGTAATCGGTTTCAGGGATTTGTGAACCCATTAAAATTACACATACCTTTTGCCAAGGTTGTGCACAGGGGCATTCTTCTTTTCTTTTCCTTTTTTTTTTTTTTTTTTTTAAATTCTTCCAAGTAGCTTGACCCTAAAAAAAAGTTTCAGAATGAATGAGTCCTACTCTGTATGACAAGGAGGTACAGTAATGTGTGTGACTTACTTGAAGCTACCTTTGCTGGCTATGGATGGAACCTGGGCTCCTTGAAGGAGAGCTAACAAGCCATGTTCTAAAGCACACATTTTGCATTTGTTCTTTTAGTCCTTTTAGCTTTCCCTGGAAGTAGCTATATTCATTACCCCCGTTTTACAGGTAAGCAAAGTGAAGCAGAGAGAGAAAATCACTTGCCTCAAGTCACACAGTGAGTGAGTAGCAGACCAGGATTTAGATGTAGGCCTTCTGGTTCCACACATTAGACCTTAACGGCTTCAGTACACATCCCTCATAGAGATTCCCAGGGTGTACTGCATCCAGTAAACTGGTTCAGGACTTTGTGAGATGGAATTGGGAATGTGAAAATAGTTCTTGGTGGTTGTAAAGTAAAGGAAGCATTTTTATAAGTTCTTACAGAGTCGGACTTATTATTTTTTTCCTAGCATGCAATGATGCTGCCTGTTCTGACCCATCATATACGCTACCACCAATGCCTGATGCACCTGGACAAGTTGATAGGATATACTTTCCAAGATCGTTGTCTGTTACAGGTAAGATTACTCTCCTATAGACTCAGAAAATAGAGAGATAGGAGTTGTTCATGTTTTAAGTTACAAATGATGCATGGGTCCTGTATTCTTGGAGGTGGGAAAGATTTTTGGAAACCTAACTCTCTTTGACTCTGTGGTTGCCTTTACCACTTTCAGACTCTCACATTTATTTGAGTTTAACCCTTAAAGAACTAAAGTTGAAGTCTGCCTGTTGAACCTGAGCATCCTCTTCCAGACTTTCCTTTGTGGCTCTTCTCTGCAGGGGCTGAGTGTTCTAATTCTCCTTTGAAACGCGTGGACTTTTAGGTTTGTTTTCAGCAGGGTGCTTATACCAGAGCTCTGGAAACTTGATAACTGGAGATGAGCTGGAAAGATCAGGGCTTAATATTTGGCTAGATAGAGAGCTCCCTTTCCAGTTTCCTAGGATTATAGAAAGATGGTGATAGTGTGCTGAATTTTAAGACTGAACTTACTTCACTGAAATTTTAGCTGGCCATGACTCATCCAAGTCATCATTTAAATTTTGGAATGAATCCTGATCATGCCAGGAATTCTTTGTCTAATTGTGGAATTCGGCAGCCCAAATATGGAGACAGAAAAGTTCATCATATGCACATGCGGAAAAAAGGTATGTTTGGATGCCTCAGATTCTGCTTTTCTGTTTTGGTCCAGTTTCCCATTATGAATGATACCCCCCAGGGATGATTCTCCTGGAAACTCTCATCCTCTCTGGAGCTTCCTGACCCATACAAAGTAACATTCACTTTGAGCAGAGCATTGTCGTAAGGATGGATGAATTTTTTTAGGAAAACTTTATTCTGTTGAAATAAGTGCTTGTTTTAAGTAATTGTTTATTAAGCTTTCAGACATGCAGATCTTTTTTTTTTTTTTTTTTTTTTTTGACAGGCAGAGTAGACAGTGAGAGAGAGAGACAGAGAGAATGGTCTTCCTTTGCCGTTGGTTCACCCTCCAGTGGCCGCTGCGGCCAGTGCACCGCGCTGATCCGATGGCAGGAGCCAGGTACTTCTCCTGGTCTCCCATGGGGTGCAGGGCCCAAGCACTTGGGCCATCCTCCACTGCACTCCCTGGCCACAGCAGAGAGCTGGCCTGGAAGAGGGGCAACCGGGACAGAATCCGGCGCCCCGACCGGGACTAGAACCTGGTGTGCCGGCGCCGCAAGGCGGAGGATTAGCCTAGTGAGCCGCGGCGCTGGCCCCAGACATGCAGATCTTAAAACATTTAAAGTCAAATAGGGATGAGATAATTTTCTCTATGTGTCATATGATATCCTAGAATACTTCTAGCCATATTTACTTATGTATTTGTTTTGTCTTAAATAGGAATTAACACCTTAATAAATATTATGTCGCGCCTTGGCCAAGATGACCCAACTCCATCAAGGTAAAGTAGGTTTTTTTAGAGACAGCTTTATTGAAATATCACTCACATATCATGTGGTTTACCCATTTAAAAGTGTACAATTCAGTGGTTTTTATTATGTTCACAAAATTGTGCAACTATGTCCACTATTCCATTTTATAATATTTTCATTACCCTGAGAAGAAACCCTGCACACATTAGTAGTCACTCCCGTTTCCCTGCAGCCTGCCCAGGCAACAGCGAGTTTCTGTGGAATTATATGTTGTGAACATTTCACATAAATGGTGCTGTATGATTGACTGCTTTTATTTTTTGAGGATTTATTTATTTATTTGAGAGGTAGAGTTACAGACAGAGGGAGAGACAGAGAGAAAGGTCTTCTATCCACTGGTTCACTCCCCGAATGGCCCTAATGGTCAGAGTTGCTCTGATCCAAAGCAAGGAGCCAGGAGCTTTTGCTGGGTCTCCCACGTGGGTACAGGGGCTCAAGCACCTGGGCCATCTTCTACTCCTTTCCCAGGCCATAACAGAGAGTTACATCAGAGGAGGAGCAGCTGGGACTAGAACCAGCTCCCATATGGGATGCTGGTGCTGCAGGCAGAGGCTTAACTTACTGTGCCACAGTGCTGGCCCCGACTGCTTTTATTTAACATTCTGTTTTTGATGCTTAACAAGGTGATAGATTCTTTTTATTGCTAAATACTATTCCATGATATAAATAGAATATTTTATTTTATTTTATTTTATGTATCCATTTGTCAGTTAATGGACATTTGAGTTGTTTCCACTTTTTGGCTATTGTGAATAATGCTGCTGTGAATATTTGTGTACAAGTTTTATGTGAATGCATTTATTGACTTTTCTTGAGCAAATACCTAGGAGTGGAATTGTTGGGTCTTATGTTAACTCTGTTTAACCTTTCAAGGAATTGCTAGATCATTTTCCAATGTGGTAACGTAATTTTGTATTCCCAACAGTAGTAAATTGGGGTTCTAATTTCTTCACATCCTTGCCAACATTTGTTATTATTTATCTTTTACAAATATTTGTTTATTTTCATTTTACTTGAAAGGCAGAGAGAGAGGTTGGGGGGAGGGCAGGAGAGACAGAGACAGATTGATATCTTTTATCTTCTGGTTCACTGCCCAAAAGGCTATAACAGCCAGGGCTAGACCAGGCCAAAACCAATAGCCAGGAATTCCATTCGGGCTGCCCACATGAGTGGCAGGGGCCCAAGCACTGTCTTCACAGGTGCGTTAGCTAGAAGCTGGGTGGGAAGCAAAGGAGCTGGAATTCAAACCTGCACTCTGGTGTGGGAAGCTGACATCTCAAACCATGGCTTAACCTGCTGCACCAAAGTGACAATCCCAGAAACACGTATCTTTAGATAACATTTTGAACCTCATGACTCAGGTTTTCTTCAGCTATACTAAAAGCGATGGCTTTCTTACCATGGCAAAAGGAATGATATCTTGAGAACTTGTATTATTTCAGAATTTATCATTTTCACAAAGACACTGTTGACAAAATCGGTGTTCTCTCTTGTCCTGTCACATCTGGCCTTTGTTGCTTGTGTTGAGAGCCTTTTGCTGTGACTCTGTCCTTTTGCTGTGTGGTGATGACTCCCCAAGTGTCTGCTCAGAGAGAGGCTCCTGGCTCTGCTGCCAGGGCCTGCTGCTGGACGTCCACTAGCTGGCCACAGTACTGGCAGCCATGTTTAAGAAACTTCCCACACATTAATTCAACAGACATTTATCCAGTGCCTTTTTAGTTTAAGGCAGTTTATTTTAGGAGATTTTAGGGCAACTAAAACACAGCCCTCACTCACCAGGAGGTGTAACTTCTTGGGGTGAGGGGAAAGTGCTAAGAAATACCTTATTAAATAACTTAATTTAGGGAGGAATCTGTTAAATGCTTCTGTGAGGATCAAAAACAAAACATTCACACGAAACTGTTTTAGGGCTCAGGATAGGTCTGGCGGTCGTTCTGGGTTTAGAGGTCAGTTTTATGCTGTGCATTTGAATAATTGAGTTGGCATGAAATGATTTTCCGTCTCCTCTGTTTGTTTCTTAGCTGCTGTTATAAAGTGGGATGTAGTTGTCTCTGCTCCTTGGAAGGGTTTGTATGTTTTTGAAGCAAACACCCTAAAATTCTAGCCAGCAGTGGTTAGATCTCCTCCCCAGGCAAGCTTGTTCAAACTTTAGGCTTGGGAAGGAAGGAGAGCGAGGTGCTAGGTTTTATGGGGGAGTCTGTTTCTGGCAGATGGAGAAGCAAGGGAGCAGAGGGCTGAGAATAAGATCTGTTCATTCAATTCTTCTGTTTCTTGTCCTCCTGCAACTGCCCCTCTCCTCCCCTCATGCTGCAGTACCATCATTCTTCTGCCAGTTCCCCCTTGATTGCCTATACAGTTGGTCATCTTGCCACTTCCTCTGCTTGTATTCTAACTCTTAACTGACTTGAAGCTGCCATCTACTGCATAACGTTGGAGGCTCCCCATCTGGCAAAAACCGCAGCGCCTATGACCTTACCCCCAGACCACTTAATGCAGGCACATTTTTCTCATCCTTGTTTTCTCTCTGCACACCAGAAAGATTGGTGTACTCACCTTCTCCCTTCCCCAGGCACTAATCCTCAATCACCTGCTTCTGCAATCCTCTGTAGCCTGTGAATGACATTGTGTTCGAATCCTGTACTTGCTTGTTTTGTAGTACAGATTCTTGTTCTGCATATCATGATTGTGTGATATGTTCTTTTTCTTTACTAGATTATAAGGATTGTGGTCTTTATCTCTTCTTCCTTTGGTTTGCAATGAGTACCTTTCACAAAGCAAGTGCTCAATAAATAAACATTAAAGAAAGGAATGCCATTTTTGGTACTTTATATTATTTATCTCTTGAGTGGAAATACAGGAAATTGAGGTAGTAAGAAGGGTTATGTTCAGCAGAGGTCTAAATGGCTGGCTGGTGTCTTCATCTGATTTAACATCAGCTAGGATTTACAAGGAACCAAGGACTTAAAAATTAATTTTTGTTAGCCTGTCTGCCTATCAAAACTTCAAAATCATTTACTTTTATGGTGGTATCATCTAAAGCAAATATGCCACTCATCATTTTTAAAAGTGTCCCTGTTTAACCATATTAGTTCCCATGATATAATCATGAATGTGTCTAATCCATGCAGACTGCAATGAAGTATTACCACAAAAAGGCTCTCTGAAGGATCAGGCACTTATGTGGCGGCGTTCCTGGCATCCCTGTTTTATCAGGAAGGCCTTTGGGAGGGAGAGGCCCGAAGAGTAGTGATTCTAGAAAAACTAGAAAATCAAACAACCTTGGTTGGTTTTGTTTTTTGTTTCTGTTTTGTTTTGTTTTCTGTGTTTTTTGTTGTTGTTGTTGATGTTATTAAAGCCATTGCTAGATAAGTATTGTGGTGCAGTGTGTTTAGCCACTGTCTGCAACTCTGGCAAGTTTTGGCTGCTCCACTTCTGATCCAGCCCCCTGTTAATCTGCCTGGGATGGCAGCAGAAGATGGCCCAAGAGTTTGGGCACTCTACTTACCCAGGTGGGAGACCTGGATGGAGTTCTACACTCCTGGCTTCAGCTAGGCTGAGACCTGGTCATTGCAGCCATTTGGGAAATGAACCAGCAGAAGGAAAATGTCTTCCTTTCTTTCGCTGTAACTCTGCTTTTCTAAATTAAAATAAAATAAAATCTGTTGGACCAACAGAGAGACACCTATGGATTATTTTAAAATGTATGTTTATTTAAGAAAATGGCTATTGCAAAGTTTACTTGGTATCACAGAGTGGGGGTGTTGTTCCAGGATACTCCACAGGTACCAAAGTCTACAAAACCTCTTTTTTTTTTGGACAGGCAGAGAGGACAGTGAGAGAGACAGAGAGAAAGATCTTCCTTTTCCATTGATTCACCCCCAAATGGCTGCTGCGGCTGGCACGCTGCGGCCGGTGCACCGCGCTGATCCAAAGCCAGGAGCCAGGTGCTTCTCCTGGTCTCCCATGCGGGTGCAGGACCCAAGGACTTGGGCCATCCTCCACTGCACTCCCAGGCCATAGTAGAGAGCTGGACAGAAGAGGGGCAACCGGGACAGAATCCGGCACCCCGACCGGGACTAGAACCCAGTGTGCCAGCGCTGCAGGCGGAAGAATAGCCTAGTGAGCTGCGGGTCTGGCCAAGTCTCTCTTCTAAGACGGTGTAGTGTTTCCATATAGCCTGTGCACATCGACAGGTCCTCCAGTGTACTTTAAATCATCTCTAGATTACTTGCAACTCTTAGTTCAATGTAAATGCTATGAAGTACTTCCTAAATCATATTGTTTTGGGAAAAATGACCAAAAAAAGTCTGTATGTGTTCAGTACAGACACAGTAGTTTCCTCAATACTTTTGACCTATGGTTGGTTGAATCCACAGATGCAGAAGACTGACTATATTTTCGATTACATTAAGTATCTTGCATAAAAAATATGGTAACAACATGCTTCGAGAGTATGTAAATTCCACTGCATGGATTTAGTGACTTCAGTGCTTCAAGTTAAATCCCAGAGGTGGTTTTCCTGGGACCAGTGGGTGTGAGGACTGGGCAGGCCATGACTGTCCTCCCACAACTCTCCAGGTGGATGTCATGAGTTGTAGGAATTCCTGAGTTGAGTAGTAGGTTCCACTGACCTCCCTGTCCCCACCTAGCTCTACTCTGCCAGTCACTTGCTTGCGAGTTGAAATGTAGAGGTGAGAAGATCCTGTCCATACTCTCACTCTTGAAGTTACTCTTGGATTTGGCGCATCCCCAAATGGCTTCCCACAGAGTAAATGGCACCTGTAGTACTTACTGTTACAGGGAAATCGCTGTGTTTTATAAAGTGCATTGAATTCCTCAGACAAAATGTGCTGTATAAATGTTACAGTTAATCTAGGTTTCATAATGCCTCTGTTGATTCAGTCCTCAAAAACAAATGGGGTGTTTACTGCTCAGTAAACATCTCATCCTGGAGCTTGCTGGTATTTGT